ACATATTATTAATACATTGTGATTGGTACTTAGTACTTATGAATATGTTGAAAAGAATAGGATATTAGAGACCTTTTGCTTGATAAAAAAAGAGCATGTTTACATATATATACATAGCAATGTTGGTAAAATATTTATTCATCCTTTACGATCTTGGCACGAATAATGCACGATGTCGCCATTGGGATACCTTGCAAATGCACTATAAAAAATAATATATAGCATCTTTTTAGATTCATAATGTATGAATCTAAGTTATAAAGAATAATACAAACCTCTGGTTTCCAAATCTTTTTTTACATACTGGACATATATTAAATTCTGTCATAAGGACACTCTGTGACTCATAATGCATACGTTGTTCTTGTACTTGCAAATGTTCTGCATAAAGTAAGCCTTTCAAAACTTGAGTTTTACGTCTTGTGTTTAAATTATTCTGAAGACTAACTTCTAGAAAACGTTTTATTCTACCAATCGGTACTGTATCTGGTAGGATTTCTAAAGCTTTTAAAGGATTTATTTTAGAAGCATGTTCTTCGAGTAAACGTAATGCCATTTCTGGATCCGGTTGTGCCTTACGTTGTATCTTTGTATTACAACCTGCGAAATAGTGAAATATTTTTCATAAAGATGACATAATCAAAACGTTTATGGAGCACAAAGAATAAATGAGAATTAAAAAAATAATATATCCGAAAGTAGAAATAATAACATACCAGCCATTAGAGCTCCTGCATCATCGGGTTTTAATAATTGATTAATAAGCATTACGTAAACCTCATCTGCTCCCTCAAATTTTTTTTGTTTATCCGTTTTCTCTTCATCTTTGTAAAGCCATAATTATTGTTATTAATAGATAAATAATTTTTTGTTTTTGTTTTTATCAAGAACCGCGTACTTACTATGATACCTTTCATATACGTTATTGCAATATTCTATTGCACGTGGTATATCATTTAAGAGATTAATATATATTGATATAGCTTGTTGATGACGTCCAAGCCTTCCTAAAATAATTGCACGTTCTTCGAATAAACAGTCAAATGGGAAATGTACCAATATCGTCTCTGGCGTATAATATGCAGATTTTTCCAAAAATTGTTGTAGTTTTTGTCTAATGTGCTGAGATATTTCTTTTTCAGCGGGCGTTGCATTCTCATTCATAGAAGCTAGACTTTTCTCCTTATATTGGTGTATTAAAACATTGTGAAATAATGGATTTGTATCTTCCCATACACGCACCACATGTTCCAAGTACGTTATAACTAAATTTTTGTGACAACGTAAAAGATAATCCAACACCTTTGGTCTAGGTAAATGCTCGACTTCCTAAACATAGACAACGGATGTCAGTAACATCTGAAGAAATTGTATAAAATGAATAACATACTTGTATATCTTCCATAAAGATTCTAAGTCCTTGTTCAGGATCTTCTTCCAAAACCCAACCTGCGAATTTAAGAATTAAATCCATATGATCTTTGCCAAGATGCTGCAAATATTGGATAGTTCTTTCAGTTCCCTTTAAACTAGAATCGTTCTCTTTGGCATGCTTTTCCAATAGCTCTAAAGCCTTCCTATGTTGTCCTTTCGTTTGATATAATATAATAAGTTCTGGATATTTCTGATGTATAAGTAATGTCTTTTCAGCTTCTGCCAAGTGACAATGATTTAATCTTAGTAAAGGTGCTACTAATGCATCGGTCGTCTGTAAAATCGTAAATTTTTTTTATATATTTGAAGAAAGTTGGATAAATATTATATTTTCTTCATACCTGTAAATAACATTTGAGTAGAGTAGTATCTATGATCTTTAACAATTGCTCAGTGGCCACAGCAGTAAGATTTTTTTCACTCTCCATTACATTTTTCTCCTTATTATTATCCTTATCTTTTGTTTTTGTATCACCTATTAACTTGTATCTGACATCGGTTAGAAAAATTATTAAAGCACGTAAACCTTTTTCCAAATCATGATTTGGAAGTTTTGGTAAATTTGTCGATGAATCGCCGAGATCCTGGCTGCTAGTTGATGGCGTTACTAAGTCAGGAAATAATCTGATTACCTCATAAGGATCAGTCCCAAGTTCTAAAAATAAATCCATAGCTTCTTGAAATTTTTTATTATAAAACAAATGATGCGCATATAAAGTTTGTATTTTATAGGTTTGTTTCACCTTCTCCTCTTCTATAATATCTGATAAGCTCTAAAAAAAAATGTATAATGAATATTACTCTATAATACTAATTCTTAAATTCAATTAAAAAAAAGGACATTGAGAAGGAGATAAATACAATGTTTATACATACTGTTAATTTTAATGCTAACTGAAATTGATTTTGTTCAAGTAAGGTTCTAATTTGTTGTGTTGCATCAACAGCCGTCACGCACCATACACTACTGATGGATGCTACAAAGACTTTGCCTTGTTTACATCTACATATAAGTCTAGCTTTATTTAAATCCTTTATTGTTTGAATGTGTAAGCAACCTTCCAAAGTATATACTTCTAATCTGTCATGTACAATGCCAAGTAAGTAAGGATCATCCCATGCTAAAATAATTTAATAATATAAGTAAGAGAATTGGCCTTTTCTTTTTGAATTCATTCCTCGTATCTCGTATTAAATAAAAATTTGTACCTATGACGCTTGGAGTATCTGGCCATTTGATAGGATTATGTTGAATTAATTCTCCTTTTGTATCCATAACAATGGAATGAGAATCTTTTCCTAATACAAAAGAATTATCTGATAATTTAGTAACACTGGGCTCCGGTGATTTTCCAGTAGGAAATAGTTCCTTAGGTTTGTCATTTAAATCAAAAATGGTATAAGACAAACCACGGAATCCTAATATCAGAGTTTCTCCGCACCTATATAAAAATATTATAATTAAATAATATAAATGTTAAGCATTTTTCTATGAGATCAATATAATATTAATACCATGATAATTCACGTGGTATGTCGGGTACTGTTAATTCAAAATTTTTACACTCCTCAAATTTCTTGCCTTTCCAATGATATAGTTGTAATTTACGCTTTACAACAACGCATAAGCGCACAACAATATCTTTCTCATCCGTTGAACTTTTTGTTCTTTGAATGTCTAAAGCGAATAACGTTGCTCCCTTTGTTTTTTGCAACTGGCAGATTAGTTGGAAATTCACTGAATTGAGATCATGAATAGAAACTATACCATCTGTATAAAGAGATTACTTATTTTATAACAAAATTTGGACTTTTCAATTTTATACAAAATAAACGATTTAAAGCCGAGAAAGTGCTACCTGTAAGTAAAATTAACAAATTATAGTCTGTCACAACAGCCATTTGAGTAATACGTTTTTTGTTAAAATTTTTACTATGGCGTAATAATTCTAACTTGTGAGTTTCATCCAATTTTGAAGGAACATTATACATGAAAATTTGTCCTTCTCTTGTTCCAATCAATAAGTTGTCATCTGAAATATAAAATACTGGAATCGCACAATGTCGGGAGAAAATTTAAACATTATTTGTTTAGCTATATCAGATTAGCTATATCAGAAATATATGCAAACAATAAATAATCATTGTATTTATGAACAGGTTCTTACATACCATATGCAATCATAGACTCTATTTGCACTGTTATATTCATTATAGGCATATTTTTATATGCTTCGTGCATTTTGATTGTATAAAATATATATATATATTTATAAAATGTATATTATTTTTTCCTTACAATATAAATGAATTGTAGGAGGGCAAAACAAAAAGTATCATCTAAAATTAAAAACTGAACTAAGTATAAGAATACTTGCTATTCGTCATGAATTTTTACGTGTATTTAAAAAAGATGCAGTCACTCGCAAACGTAATAAGTTCAATATTCCTTTCGGATTAAAAAATGGGACGACGTATACTCAAACGTAATGTCCCATCCGTCTAGAACGCCCATCTAACAAACGTCAGATTACATTGACGAGTGCGTGGAACATCTAGACATATTCTGTGACTTAACTGAATGATAGAACAAAAACTATACTCTAGTCAAATTTATCAATTTCATTGTCCATAAATTGAAATTGTTTGATTCAATTAGGATTACCTATCCAATAAGAGTATATTCTTATTTAACGAGAATGCGATAAGAATATATGTCTAGTAAATTTAAAAGCGTAACATCAGTTAAAGTTATTTGATATAATTTGAATAGGATCGAATGAAATTATTAAAAAGTGGACAAATTTTTTCGTAAACGATTACATGAAGAAGTGTCGGAGAAAAAATTAATTTTCTATGATAGTAGAGAATATCAAAAAACTGTATATACATTTTGACATTTGTATTTTGACAACTGTATATACATTTATATATCTTTAAAATGAGAAGTTATTCATCAAAATAGGTCAAGAATTTCTCTTGTTCAAGCTGTCGACGTAAACGCTATTATTGATATTTTTCGTGAAAAAAAAAAAAAAAAAAAAAAAAAAAGAAAGCTCGTGTAGCAGCGTCCTCTTCGAAAGTGAATATTATAGATTAGATGAAATTTTTAAATCATTTAAGCTATAATAAATTTAATACTGATGTATTATGTGTACAGTGTGTTCCCTATTGCACTTGTAGTTCACAATTTACTCGTACCTATCGCTGAAGTCGCATACACTACGAAGCCAAAAGTGGTGAACAGCTTTAAACGATATATTTTCAATAGTCTATTGTTTTCGTTTGAATGAAAAAACATTTCAGTAAAATAGTATCATTGAAATTTGTTAAATAAATAAATGATTTAAATGAGATTATAATTAAGATCATAGAAATTACTAATACGAATTATTAATTCGAAAAGAAACTAATCAGGTTGACCATTTTTTCATACTGAAGTTAGGTATAAACTTGTGATTGTTCAATTTCGAGAAAATGATTTCGAGTTAATCGTGAACGCGTGTCCTTTCACGTATTATAGTTTCTTTTGGCTAAAGCAAAATATGATATTGTCAAAATCACGACCCATGATCTAATTTGGGAAAATTGGTAAACATCTGATGTTATTTAATATTATAATTTAGTAAAATAACTATTGTAACGTGAGAGAAGGAATACAGTCGCATAAATATGTCAAAAGAAGAGTATGTTCATGGAAATGGAGAGGTAGTTAATTATGCAAATAAATCAATTAATTAATAATCTATATATTGTTAATATTTCGTTATTTGGACATATCTTCTGTGATTAATTTGTAAAATTATTAGACTTTAGATTGCGAGGAATCACCTGCGAAACAAAAATTAAGGGGATGGCTGAATCGACATTTGCGAATTAAAATGACAGATGGTAGAGTATTAACAGGTGCATTTCTCTGCACCGATCGAGATGCTAATGTAATTTTGGGATCATGTATAGAATTTTTATCTGAAGATCACACAGAAGCAAGAGCTCTTGGATTAGTAATGGTACCTGGTCGACACATTGTGACTATTCACTTAGATGTTTGAATAATTCTTTTTAAAATATCATGTAAATAATGCGTTATTATCATTATTACAATAATAGAGTAAAATCATAACCCATTATTTCTCTATCTTCCACATTATAGACATCTTATACTTTTTCCAATTATATAATAATATAATTTTACAATTTTTATCTTCATAGGAATATTCCTCCGACAAGTTATTTATATTTTTCAAGATTCCTTAGTATTTATTATACATTCCTGCTGTATATAAAAATATTCTTTTTCTAATTCTTGATTATTATATATCTCTTTTTCTACATTTTTAATTGCATCATGTATTCTTTGACTGAGGGTAGAACATAAGCTATTCATTCCATATGTGTAACATATATCGGTAGTTGAATCAGCCATTTTACGTACAAGCTGCATAAAACTAATAAGTTGCTAAAAGATAAAACAATTAAAAGAACTTATAAAATATGATCATAATTAAGTGCAAAGTATTTATTAAATAAATTTAAACATCTTACCATAAGCGTTTCTTTTTTATCCTGTGTTTCTCCTCTAATTTGAACTATTGCATCCCCATGCAAATCGGCAAATTCATTTTCTATGCTATCTTTGTGAAGATTTATTAATTGTATTAATAATGTCCTAAAAGAAAACTTTTCTAGATATTATTACTATATAAACACTTCACGTTATATGACTTATCATTATGTTCACCTGTACTCTACACTTGCAGCTTCTATGGCTGTATATATAATGGTTAAAAGTTCAGAAGCATTATTTACTGCATTTAAAGTTGACTGATTTATCATATAATTATATGTCAAGGTATTTACATCCGGTAACTTTAATTTATATTCTTCCGTAACCTTTGATTCATTTTGCGATGAACATTTGACAAAGGACGAGCTCAAGCACTATGTATGTAAAAAAAAAGGAAAAAGTGTTATTAATATTGTATATATAATAAAAAATATCTTAATAATAATCATTACAAAATAAATAATTTATACCATAATAGGTACTGTTTTCCTGAATAATGATTTAAATATCGAACAAAATGTCATTTTCGTTAAACTCGCACTCATTATTCCGAGCGTCAAATGATCTTATAATATTCACATGTCACGATCTTGCTATAATATTCCTAAATTCCATATATTGTATACATCTCTATATATGTGTTTGTACTTATTCAGAAAGAAGATCGTTGAAAACAATGAAGTTCGTTCTTCCAGTGATTTAAAATTCAAGCTTACCATCGTCTATCATTTTCTAAACGGTTTATTCCCTGAAGTTTATTTCAAAAAAAATGCAATAAAAATAGGTGGCGTATGTTTAGAAGAATCGTAAAAGCAGACGTCGTATTTCTTTTCTTGATCATTTATTGTTTATAGCTTGAGAAACTTTTTGCTATTACCTTTAATCCTTGTTGATATGTCACTTTAGGTTAGTTATTACTCGTCAGAATAAAGTTCTACGTCGAGTAAACAAGAGTCGAAAAAAATGACATCGTGCCTAGAAAATGTACAAATTCCAACGTGCGTGTGGTTTGAGGGAGTCGAAAAACGAAATGCATTAGTATCGATGTTGGCTAGTACATTGGTAAACCTAATAATTTCTAATTATTACTGGGAAATGTGACATTTTTTTTTAACTATTCGCTATATGTTTATTTTTTTTTTTTTCTTTTTCTTTTTTCCTTTTTTTTTTTTTTTTTTTTTTTCTTTTCTTTTCTTTTCTTTTTTTCTATCGTATAATACCAATTATTTATTTCATATTGATTGCTTATTTATTATCCATCAAATATTGTTGCAGTTTTTTGTAGGATGGTGGTTTATAATAGACGCTCATGCAAAGTATCCAGCAGAGATGGTAACTGCTTATCACGTTTGTGGAATATTTGGTACAATATCTTTATTTATGTAAGTTCAATTAAATTGATTAAGAGTAACGAAACGGAAAATCTATTATGAAAAATAATATTTGCGAATTACTATTGGTAAAATTTTAATTAGATTCTTATAATTAGACTCCTACAACACAATATGAAATATAAATTGTTTTTAATACAGGGTCAACTCTGTATCGAATGCTCAAATAAGAGGAGATGATTATAATGGCGGACGTCTAGGAGTCAGGGGTGCAAGAAGTTGGTTATTCGTGGGCTTTGTCATAGGCTTCGCGGCAGTTATTGCAGCCTGTTGGATCTTATTTGCAGATTTCGTAGCTCTAAGTAAATAATAATAGAAAAAAAAGCTTATATATAAGCTTTTTATCTAAAATAAATATTTTTTAGGTGCTGGACATTACTGGCCTGGAATAGGATTATTCTTACAAAATGTATTTATATTCTTGGGATCTATGACATATAAATTTGGTCGAACCGAAGATCAGTATTAGCGGAGTTATTTTTATAAAATTCTACAAAAGTTACACAAAGGATTGCTTTTAAATATTAATATACTTATATTTTCAAAATATAGTAGCAAATGTGGTAGTATAAATAATATTTCAACTTTATTTGAATTGATTTAAATCTCATAAATACTCATCGATTAGAATATTTAAAAATACTGTAGAATTGACAATTATTTGCTTCTATGTAAAGTTTTGCATATAGTCATATGATAATAATATCATTAACAGCATATACATTGAAAATTGCAATCCAAAGATATTATAAAGAATAATTAAACGATCTTAATGTTTCACATAATATTTAAGTAAATATAAAAGCGTTTATCATTTTTTATTTATAAATAATTACATTGAAGTGCACACGCTAGTGTGCACACAATTAAATGTAAAGATAGATCCTGATAGATTTTTGTAACCATTTTAATAATATAAAAGTGTTATGTAATTGTAAAACATAAGATTATAGAGTTCCAATATTGCATAGATTATTTTTACCTGCTCTGTGCGGTCTCCCTCTAAATTTAATAATAATTACTAAGTTGTCTGGAATTCAATCTGAATGTTTAGCTTTTTCTAATAAAGATCTTATTAATTTAAATTTTATTTTACATAAATAATAAATGCTTTCATAATGACGTTAATAATTTGTATTTACACAATGTAATCTAATTTTTTTTTTTTAATCCTCTATGTGTCCTATCTCATGTCATGAATGATTTCTTTCATTAATCCAGAATTATAAATGTGGGTGTGTGTATACATGTGAATTACCTAACTTTTTTTTTTCCCCCTTATTTTCATCGATTTATACACTTTGATATGCAATATATATTGAGGCATCTATAAATTTATAAAAGAGAAAAAACGCCCTAGGTTATTTCTGATAGCCCAAGACTTTATTTTTTAAATTTCACTCGTCATTTCTTATCGCGCCTAATCAGTTTTGATTTGACAACGCGGCCCAATAGAATATCAACTTCAATGATTCTTTAACCAATGGTATTATGCCACACAAACACATGGTCCATGCAGCTATCGCGAAAACTCGCGAGTGCGTTGTTTTTTGTTAGTTTAAAACGTTTGTTGTTAATTAACGTTTGTGATGTTCTCAAGATTTGTGCGTTCCTAATGATATAAAAATAACATTTCTTCTTTTTTTGTATAAAATTTTCTTAAGAACAAAAAAAAATAAAAAGTAAGAAGGTAGTTCTAGCACGTAACATTTCTAGTTCAGATGCTGTTTTAGCCTGCCGGTAGTCATAACCAAATTTAATAGCAAAGCAGTTTTCCTCGTGCTCATATACGTCGGTACTTCGTGGTTAATGTTAACAAAGATTCTTTAATAATTTTATATTTTTTTATATTGCACGTAGATGGAAATCACATGTGTAAGGATGTCAGGAATAACGCTATTTCTAGTCATAATTGCTGCTTTTATTGGTCAAAGTGAAGAAATAGCTGTCATGAGCATTGATATTGGCAGCGAATGGATGAAAGTTGCTATCGTTTCGGTACGTTAAATTAATTAATTAATACGTTAATTAATTATACTCATACTTTTTAATAATTCATTCTAAGCTAATACATATTTTAAAAATATATTATTTGATACAATTTAAGAATTGAATTATTTAAAATCTTGATTATTTTTGTAGCCAGGTGTACCTATGGAAATAGCTCTGAATAAAGAGTCAAAAAGAAAAACACCCGTTACAATATCATTTCGAGATGGAGAACGGACATTTGGCGAAGATGCACAAATTGTAGGACTTAGATTTCCACAAAACTCTTTCTCTTATATATTAGATCTTTTAGGAAAATCTATAGATAATCCAATGGTTAAACTCTATTCCAAGAGATTTCCTTATCATGATATTATAGCTGATGATGAACGCCAGACAATAGCATTCAAACTCTATGAAAATATTACTCATACGCCAGAGGAATTACTTGCACAGATACTTCACAGAGGAAAAGAATTTGCAGAAATTTCTGCTGGACAAAAAATTAATGAAGCAGTGATCACCGTACCAGGATATTTCAATCAAGCTGAAAGAAGAGCTTTATTACAAGCAGCTGAACTTGCAGAAATCAAAGTATTACAACTTATCAATGACTATACCGCAGTCGCATTGAATTATGGTATATTTCGTAGAAAGGAAATTAATGATTCTGCTCAATACGTAATGTTTTATGATATGGGAGCCAGCAGTACAACGGCAACAGTGGTCAGTTATCAAAATGTTAAAACAAAGGAGAAAGGATTTGTTGAAACTAATCCTCATGTTAACATATTGGGTGTAGGGTATGATCGTACCCTTGGAGGATTAGAAATGCAGATAAGATTGCAAAACTATTTGGCGAAAGAGTTTGACGCTTTAAATAAAACTCCAAATTCAATATTTAATAGTCCAAGAGCAATGGCAAAACTCTTCAAAGAAGCTGGACGCGTTAAAAATGTACTTAGTGCCAATGCCGATCATTTTGCACAAATTGAGGGCTTGATAGACGATTATGATTTTCGATTACAAGTCACCAGAGAAACTTTGGAAAATATTTGTTCTGATTTATTTGAACGTGTGTCAAATCCTATAAAAAATGCCCTAGAAACTTCAGGTAAATTTTATTGAATATGTAAGCGGCTATCATTATTCGTTTCATTGACAAATTTTATTGATAAGGCTCTAACAAGTATTTATTATATATAAAAACAATATTGTACATTATTTCAGCATTGACAATGGATGTAATATCTCAAGTAGTTTTGGTGGGAGCTGGTACACGTATGCCAAAAATACAAGAAAAATTGATGGAATATGTAAAAACGGACTTATCCAAAAACATGAATACCGATGAATCCGCTGCATTAGGAGCCGTTTATAAGGCGGCAGATCTCAGTCAAGGTTTTAAAGTAACAAAATTTATAACAAAAGATGCGGTTTTGTTTCCTATTCAAATTGTATTCGATAGAAATGCCGATGGCAGAATAAAACAGGTAATAACTTAAAAATTCATCATTTTTTTTTTTTTTTTCTATTTCTGAATATTGCAATCTAATCATACACACACACATGCACGCACATTGTCTACAGGTTAGAAGAACTCTTTTTAATAAAATGAATGCTTATCCGCAAAAAAAGATTATTACATTTAACAAACATACTGAAGATTTCGAATTTCATGTAAACTATGCTGAGTTAGATTATTTACCCGTTAACGAAATGAAGTAAGTACATACACATAATCCACATGATGTGTATTTTTTTTTTTGTTTTTTTTTTGTTTTTTTTTTTTTTCCATTTAAAATTTATTTAAACGTTTAACATGAGGGATTTAATGAGGAATTATTATTAAAGAAAAATTCTTATTTATATGATTACAGTGCCGTCGGAAATTTGAACTTATCAACTATAAAATTAACAGGTGTGGCTGAAGCTTTAGAAAAGCATGCTAAAGAAGGAGCTGAAAGTAAAGGAATAAAAGCTCATTTCAATATGGATGAAAGTGGTTTACTTAATTTAGTAAATGTAGAATTGGTGTCAGAAAAAACAGGAACCAGTGCTGAAGAAGAAGAGGGTACATTTTCAATGCTTGGCTCAACTATTAGTAAACTCTTTGCTGGTCTGTGTTTAAGGACTCTGCAAAAAATGATGATACGAATATCAAAGCTTTTTAACATATTTATCATTATTCCCCAGGTTCTGACAATAAAGAGAGAATTGAAAAAAATGAAGAATCAGCAAAAGAAGATATTAAGGGGGGGATACACGAAGAGCATGATTATCCAGATGGTCACAAAGAGACAGAATCTCAGAGTAAAAATCAGACCAAGTTAAATGAAGACAAGACAGGGAACAAGACAGAGAAAACTGAGAAGGAAAAGAAGCCTATTACAGTAACGATAAAGGAACCTATTAAAGCAGAAGAGATTAAATTAGGTTCAAAGACATTAGACGAAAAGAAATTTTCTATATCGGTTGAAAAGTAATTATCAAAAACAATATTTCTATAATTAAATTTAATATTAATGTTACGAGTGTATTATTCGTATCCACAGTTTAGAACAATGGTACTTATTTTTACAGGATTCATTACCTCGATCAACATGACCGAGAAAAAGCACGACGCGAGACAGCTTTAAATAATCTTGAGTCATTTGTGATCGACGCACAACAAAAATTAGAAACGGAGGATTATGCTGCAGCAGCAACTTCTGGAGAAGCAGGGAAAATATTAAAAGCATGTACAGAAATTTCTGAATGGCTGTATGAAGATGGTTTTGATGCAACTGCAGAAATATATGAAGAAAAGTTAATGTCATTACAAAAATTGACAAATGATGTATATGAAAGAGTTTATGAACATAAAGAACGGCCGGAAGTTCTGAAAGGAGTGGTGTCTATGTTGAACGGAAGTAAAATATTTTTGCAGAATATGCGTAACTTAAGTCTAACTAATGACATTTTTACACAAATAGAGATTGAAACATTGGAAAAAGTGATCAACGAGACAAAGGTATGTATAATCGCAACAATAATATCTTCTTCGTTTCTTTGTCAATGATTATTTTACGAATTTATATGTTAATTTATATGTTCATTTATCTAGGAATATTATGATACAATTGTAAAGTCATTTGCCGAAACAGCTTTATACGAGCCGGTGAAATATAAAGTTCGCGATATTGCAAACAAAATGGCACTACTCGATAGAGAAGTTAAATATCTTGTAAATAAGGCAAAAATCTGGAGACCAAAACCAGAAACAACGAATCACACGGAAAATAAAACTGATCAAGCATTAAATGCAACACAATTACCAGACGTGGAATCAACGGCCGTTCCCGATGTTGATATTCAGTCAGAACAATCAAATACAGAAGGGGTAACAGAGGATACGTTAATTTTGCCAGAAAATGATAATACGAAAACGAATAATGAACGAGATCAAGAGGAAATACATCAAGAACTTTAAAATATAATTTATTTTCAATGTGTGATGTTTCATTAATGATCGGGTACATATCGATCAACAACAACTTAGGCAAATCACCACTGTGTAGGACAATTTTACGAATGTATTTAACGAATCAAATACGAATATCTACTGCGGCGTCTATATAAATTAATTTAAAAAGATTTTCGATTCAATTATTTAGATGTTTTTACAATAAATTATAATTATCATATTACCATGAAGCGCAATCAAGTGCAGCATTGTCAAGCAAAAAAAGACATTACACTATTATTTTATCAAGTGCCAAGTCTAAGTTGGCTTTAAAGCTAATATATGTTATCTATTTTGTTCTGGTTGATTTAATAATAATAATAATAATAATAATAATAATAATTGTTTTACTAAATATTTAAAAGAAATGACAAATAGCTGCATGTTCAACAATTTATTGCATTTGTTTTCTAATTATAAAGCAAGTATGATAAAACGATTTATAAAAAAAAATGTTAAATAAAATGTTCTAATGGAGTGTGTGTATGGGCCGTCGTCTCATGCAAGTAACTGGTTCTATCGTATATATACGAATTAACACACATAATAAGTATTTGTGTGCGTGAGAGAGAGAGAGAGAGAGAGAGAGAGAGAGAGAAAAAGAGAAAGAGAGAGGTAATGCTCCAAGGTATTAATTTGTGATATGAGATGACATGTATGTGCATTATTTAAGAAATAATTTTGTACGTAACTTATCTTCTACAATACAATAGACCTACCTTCTACAATTTCAATGAATTATGGCACAAGAATGTTTGAACAAAAAAAAAAAAAAAAAAAAAAAAAAAAGAAAAAAAAAAGAAAAGAAATGAATTAAAAATTTATTACCGATCTTAGTAAGTTTTATATTGCATAATATTGTACTTTCAAAAAAATTTTATTAATTCCCAATATAGTATTCTAGGGTATATTACTTGTTATACTCGTATAATAAATCTCTGCAATTTTGAAACAACTTCAAAATAACTTTGCTTATAAATATTTTAACTATAAATGAGTACGACGTGTAAGCAGCTTATTAAAAGTTATTTAATATCTTATTATGAAAAATATTTACTATTTTAATGGATACACATGTAGTTTTAAATGCTGATTATATTATTTATTAATTTATGCAAATAAAACTGAAAATATATAAAATTGGAATGAAACGGGAAATATATATGAAAAATTTTTAATGACTTTATTTCTCTATCTTTAACATATAATTTTTATTGTAATTATTCGTATCGATTGAAATATCTTCATAAGCGATCATTAGGCCTGATTATGAATAATCGATCGATTTAAACACGGAAGCATCATAGATCATTTATAAATTACGATTCTACGATAATTTATTTTCAAATTTGTTTTACTTCACCACTGCAATTTGGACAACAACTAATATTCGACGTATCTCGTGGAATAAAAATTTGACCCCCGATAGCAAAAGCTGCTCCCATAACTGCGCTACAAGCAGCATCTTGTCTTCCTGACATAAGTAGATTTGGGCTCATAAGTAGCTGTAAATAGAAAAGTATTAATTTTTTAATTAATTTTTAAAAAGACGTTTTCAATTTTTAAAAACTAACTTGCTCTGCATTTTTTTCTGCCAATGTTTGCATTTCCAAACCAGTTATATTAATATCTTTATTTGACATTGTATTCAACATGCCACTTAATAATTGAACTTTTAAAATTTCTGCTAATTGACAAGAGCCCTGTGCCAAATCTATAACATTTGTACTCGGTAGTGCATGACGTTTGTATGACGCTGCTCGAACAGGATCGAAACTTTCTAAGAGAATACTAAGAGTTCTGTAATAAAATATAATAATGTTAATACATATGGTATTCAATATGATTGGACAGATAATTAATATATTCAAATAGATACCTATATGTTTTAAGTGACGCATCGCGTATACTTTTACGTTCTTCCAGTAATCTTTTTATAGATTCTTGAAGATCGGTCGTTCTTTGACAAAGGGCAGCCTTCCATCTTGCAAGTTCCTCTACCATTAAACTATTACAAAAATTATTTTACTCGCTGATACTCCTTTTCTGGATAATTTTCTAGTGCCATTGTTGTTGATTTAATTTTAATTACCTACTAGCTAAAAATTTACTCCTCCAAACTTCACATTGTCCTGCTAACCATTCCGTTTGTTCTTGATGAGTACTAAGATGTTGAGCAGAATTTAAAAGTGCACGGGCAAGTTGTAGTTTATCTTCAGTAAGCAAATGAACTTTAGTTTCAAGATCTTCACCTACAGCTGCTACCAGCAAATTTTTTAATTCACCATTTACCTATATAGTAATATATATATGTGCATTATGTTAATCAAAATAAGTAAAACAAATTATGGCCCTAAGACATTTTATTATTATACCTGTGCTTGGAATTTTAATTGATTTTCTAATTGACTATTCTCTTCTTTAAGCTTTTGAATTTCACTTTCATAGATTTTCTTTTCCTTATCCCAATTAGATTCTTCCTTTTTATCTTTTTCATTATTTCTTTCTTTCTCAACATTCGTATCATTAATCTTCAATTTAGCAACATCCGTAACTGCTACATTAATATTTGTATCCCACTTGGAATGCTTTTTATTTTTTTTTTCAGTCGGAACAATAGGGTTAACTGCTGCTTTGTACGGTTCGTAAGGTACAAATTTGGGTTCCTTTGTTTTTAAAGAATTTAAAATTTGTCTTTTGCCCTTTGTAGCTGTGATATTTTTTGGAATAAGATTTACAATAGTACCAGTGGGAATAACTGGACCCGTTGATATAGATTGCTTTAAATTCTTTGGATAGTAAATAAGGCTATCATTAAGACGGCACTTGGATTGCTTAGCCTCATTTTCATTCATAACTACATTTTCCATTCCATCTCCTTGCGTACGTCCAATGCAATCCATTACCTGGACATCTTAAAATGTAAAATTATTATTATTACACTTTTAATACTTCACGTAGGCACACTTGAAAAAAAAATCATAAAAGTACTTTCTAACCTTCTGATTGCAATTGACATTTACTTTTGCGATTCTCCGCAACACCAGCCATATTTATCAATTGACAAATTAAACAAATATCACAGCTTTTTAAATAATCATAACTACTAATTACCTCTTAAAAATTAATACCCGCATACTCATCACGCACAATTCCCCATAATTTAGATAGTTGGATATTGATATATCGACAATAATATCGCAAACGATGCGAGGACCGAGATATATGAGTATCATCGATACATATCTCGATATATCGAGTGTTATCAACGATCGCATTTTAAATTTACGCGTGTACAACAAATCAATGTTGGATTATAAATATTTTTATGAAATTAAACATTAATTATAATTATTAGTTATATATATATACACACACACACACTCACACACACTCACACACACTCACACACACACACACACACATCTATAATCGCATAAATATGAAAAAGATCAAGGAAGAAAGTGATAAAAATAAAAGGTTGAAAAATAAAAAACGTCTTCAAAAGGTATGAAAGTTAAAAGAGTTGACGCACATACTTATCATATATATTATATACTATCACGAATTAAAGTTTATTAATGTCGATTTAAGGTGGATAATACTCCAAAACGACTTAATTATAAGAATTATCTGGAACACCTGCAGAAAGTGAAAAATGTTGTTGCAAAAATAGATAACAAACCTCCTAAATTTAACGTAGAAGTATATTTTAAGCCACGTCGTTTAGAAGTCGACGCCAGGAGGATCAGGGAATTGGACAAAGAAAATATGAATATATTAAAATCTTTAAACATTATCACTAGATTAGGAGTAATTATTTAGCAATTTTTTTCCAGAAATAATAATAAAGTGATATAAGATATTGATAAAAGAACACCTGATTGCAGGGTGTCGTTGATTGCTGGCAAAAGAAATTTACATACAAAAGTAAATTTGATATTCAACATTTAGAAAATAAAAAAATTATGAAAGAAAATGATGCATTGCTTAAAAAAATCAATCAGACATCTAGTCAATATACTGCAGCAGATTTAATAAAAGAATGGAAATATATGAGAGGAAAATTGGATGTTGAAAAAAAAAGGTATATTGAAAAAATTACATTTGAAATGCTTAATACTGTACACTAATAAATCATTGAAATATATACACACACACACACTTTTATACTTTTATACTTTTAAACAGGGAACCCCAAAAATTAAAAGGGATTGTTATAACACCAGGTATGAAAAAGGACTACTGTATGCTCAGTGATTCAGCACTATTTCATACTTTAGATCAATCAGTTAGAAGTAGGTGCTTTTTAGAGATCAAAGATCAACAAAATAAACAAATTCTGGGAACAATTGTGATTGAACTCTATATAGATATCGTACCTAAAACGTGTGCTAATTTTGAAGCTTTCTGTCGTGGAGTAAATGGATTATCTTACAGGTAAAATAAACATAAGGATATTATTTTTTGTTCATCTAATTTATAATTGTGACGCTATGACTGTATATAGAAATACTCCAATTCATCGTATTGTTCCTGGATATTGGTGCCAAGGTGGTGATGTAGTAAAATTTAATGGCATTGGTGGTACATCCATATATGGAGATAGTTTCAAAGACGAAAATTTCAATTTGCGTCATGCTGGTCCTGGTGTACTTTCTATGTATAAAACCGACGATATGAAAGAAAATAATTCTAAATTTAATCTGACATTTAAAACATTAAAAACAATGGATGGTAGAAGAGTAGTATTTGGAAAAGTTGTATCCAATCTTTCTGTAATCCATAAGGTAATTAAATATATAATCTGAAACTGCGTTGCAGTAGATTATATTAACTTCTATTATTAGATTGAAGAATGTGGCACAAAATCTGGCAAACCAATAAAATCTATTATCATATCAAATTGCGGAGTTCTACCATCAAGAAGTAATATTTATAAATAATAAAAATAGTCTAATGGTATGTCAATATTTATCCTTTAATAATTAGTATAACATGGTTTAATATATAACAAATTTTATCTGTAGTTTTATAAGGCACCTTAATGTAAAGATTAGAAGTTAAAGACAGGAAAATATTAAGAAAATGTTAAGAAAATATGAAGAATTTCTTTTCCTTTTCCATCTGATATAAAATATTAAGCTGGTATCCTTTTGGGATTTGAATCGTACATACGTCGCATACGCTTCTTTAGTTCCTGGGGGAATTTATCATAACATTTTTTGCATGCGGGTTTTAAATCAAATTCAAAGAATTTTGTTTTTTGATTCATCTTCTGATCACAAAACGCACATGCAAAGTGATGAACACACCATGCCTTATTTAAGGCTGTAAAAACTGAAAATATAAAATTGCAAATTTTAACATTTCTTATTATAACTTATCGAGTTTCAATTCAAGTGTCTAATTATTAACAAATGTTATACTTACCATCACCAGAAATAACTTGATTGCACACAAAGCAAAGATTTCCAAAAAGTTGATGATAATGCGTTTCACAATATGCAAGACCTTTTTTCTCATAATGGCGATGTCCAAGGAATGGCTTCTCACATTTTGCACATACAAAATGTTCTACATGCCAATGTTTCCCTAAAGCAGTTACAACACGTTCTTCTATAGGTCGATGACAAGCACCGCAAATAGGAATGCCCATTTTATCATGGCATCTCAAACAATATAATTCATTCTGAAAATGAAAGTGCACAAATGTTGATATAATATTTTTATATATATACATATATGCATTGATAAAACATTAAAAATTTTTATTTATTATTTTACCATTTCATTGGCAGCATAACCTGGCCTAGAACGAACTTCCCTTGCATCTGAATTAAGTTCTATTCCACATGCTGTGCAATTAAAATGATATGGGTGGTAAACTTCACCACGAAAACGCAATGGTTTATCATCAATAACGCCACTATTTGAAAAAACAAACTGCACGTTAATATTTATTTTAAAAATCACAATATAAAAAATGAATAAATAGAAGACATACTGGCATTGGTGACAAATATGCTTTCCAAGAGCACCAGCTTTTACACGAGCATTACAAGTATGGCAAAGAGCTCTGCCTTGGCATTTGATAAAACCTGCATCTGCTAATTCTCCATTACATTCTTCACACCGAAAACATCCTGGATGCCAGTTTGCATTCATTGCCTTTATTACCCTACCAATGACAAATTCTCCTAAAAAGATATTAATCATTATACCGTATCTAAAGGAATTCTAGAAATTTAATGCACGAAAGAAAATATATACCACATTTGCCGCAGCAAGGTGCAAATAAAACATGAAAATCATGCTCGCAATATTTGTAGCCTTCAAATTCATAAAAAATTCCATCTGGAAATGGTCGAAAGCATTGTGCACATCTATAACATAGGAATAAAAAAAAAATCAATATCGTCGTTATGACAAAGATGTTGTTGATTATCCATATATTTCATAATATATGTAACTAACACGAAACACTGAGGATGCCATAATTCGCCATGAGAATTAACTATCTTTTCGTGTGCCACAAAGCCCTCTCGGCATCGAGAACAGAACATATGATCCAGCGACATTCCTGTAACGCTATAAACAAATATTATTTATTTAGAATCATTATATTGTTCGAAATAATAGATAAATTATTTACAAACTGAAACAAAAGTGTTGATCCAAGAGAGTTTTATGATGAAAATACCTGCTCGATCAGGTGGACGGAATAAATATTTAATGAACGTCCGACTATAAATTTGTTCAGAAAAGAAAAAGAAAAAAAAAAAAAAAAAAAAAAAGAAGAATAACCCTGATGCTTACCCCGGCATATTTTAATGATGATAGTTAATTATAGTTCAGTTCAATTTATCAATCAGTTCTTTAGTTTCATGCACGCTTAATTAAAGACAATATCACACGGACTTTGATAACTGTCAATGCAAGTTTACTAAAAGCAACGTACTACGTAAGAATAATGACATCACCTGTCAGTCACCATATACACTGCCCGATCAGATATATTTATCGAGAAGAGTATTTATAAAGCTTACATTTATAAAATTGAGTATATACCTATATAGCAAAGATGATGTTTACGTCATGCATCCACCTTCTCCGTATCCATCTTTTTTTTCGAGTGGGATAGTAACCAATCAAATTGTACAAATATGATTGTGCCCTTATACGAGGAAGGGCGTAACACTACATTAATATAATCCTTTTAAAATAACTATTCAATTCGTTACATTAAAAAACAAATATATTACATTTGATAAATGATCGATTAAATAGCTTCGAAATCCATCTTCATAATTTCGTTCTTAATTAAATTTTTCGTTCGATTTAAGCAGCGCCATTTTAATATTTTTCATGAAGAATCTAACCAATCGTCGTTTCGATTACCAACAATCTTACTTTATTACTCTCAATAAGAGTATCAGTTCTGGAATATGACGAAAGTACTAAAGTAGAAATTATAAAGTAGGATGATCTATAAAAGTCCGTATCGATATATATTTAAAACTTGACAAAATGTATTCAGTACAAAGATAAATAAAAAGAGAAAAATAAATTTGGATATTACAAATATTCATTGGGAATGTAAATAAATCGATGTTCGTATTCGCCCATTTCCAATCACATACTGATATTCAAATTTCAAATGAAAATTTGAAGGATATAATAACACAACTAACGAAAATGTTCTAAATTCTGGTTTTATTGAGGAAATTTTTCATAATTAAATAGAATCGAAATTCTTTTCGGACGTAAATATTTCAATTTATAAAAGATTGCCTTGAAATAAAACATTTACGAGAAATAATGATAATAACAATATTTTACCACATCCCGGAAAGAATTGATGAATAACTTGACTATATCTTTCATATTTCTATCGAAATATATTATTTTACTCCATCGGTCAACGATTGCATTTTCGCAGACATCGTATTACTGTATTGCTTGTATTTATGTGTAAGTAAATAAGATATTATACCAGATGCGAAAGCGTCGGAAATAATATTTATAGTCGTCCTGAATCGATCCCTATGAAATAATATAGGATGAAAATAAAGATATTAATTCTTGAAATTAATTTATGCCATCGAGATATACTTACACAAAACAATCAATAGCAATAATTAATGCGATATCATCTACAGGGACTCCAATGGAATTTAATACCATTATTAACATCATATATCCACCGCTGGGCAATCCAGCTGCACCAATGCACGAGATAGTGCATGTAATACTTGGAAAATAATGATTTTTAAATATATTTTCTTTTTATTACGATTTCTTTTATGTTTCGCACAGGAACGTGCGCACGCACCTCACACTAACCTGATGGCTATTATTTTAAATAATGAAAAATTTAATCCTCGCATCTGAATAATAAATATTGCCCCAACAGTTTCATATAATGCTATTCCGTCCATATTTATTGTAGCACCTATCGGTACGACAAATCTCAGCACTTTTGGATCTATACCAAGTTCTTGTAAGCACTTTATCGTTACTGGGACAGTAGCTGTACTAAATTTTATCATATAATTTGTATTTAGTAAGTAAATATGTAGTAGAAGACAAAATAATATTATATACCTCGATGATGTTCCAAATGCTGTTGCAAAGGCGGGACCTAATTTCATTATAATTTTGTATGGAGATCTACGTGTAAGTAGAAAATACAGTATCGGTAATATTAAAAATCCTTGTAATATTAGACCGATAAAAACGGTTAATATATAAGCACCTAATTGTTTAAATATTAAACTAAAATCTGTCATCTCTAAAATTCTACCAGGAATAAGAAAAAATGTGCCAATTGGTGCGATCCTGCGATAAAAAATAACTTGGATATTAATGTCGCTTGATGTAAAGCATAATATCAATGAAATAAATTCATTCTGTACATGATTATCCAATTCATAATATTCATCATCACTTGAGAAAACGAATCTATAACATTTAACAGAGGCCTGTTTTTTTCACCCAACTTGCCAGCTGCTAAACCTAGTAGTAAGCTAAAAAATACCAAACCAATTACATCGGTGCCTGGTATATCTTGATGTGTTATAGCCCATTCGTTTATAGGCACTGGAATGTATACAATTTTTTAATATTTCAAACTTTAAACACCTAATTATTATTATTAATTATGGTAACATGCCATATACCTTTGGTCGTATTTTCTGGTTCTTTCAAAACCGTTTGATACTGCATAAAACATGCTTTAATTAAATTGTCTGATATTAAATTACTGAAACATGATTTTATAAGAAAGGCATGCGATATGATATTAGAGAATTAATTTTTATTATTTTTATAATTTAACGCTAATTACCGTAACAAGTCCAAAAGTGTATCAATTGTCATAAAATGTTTAGATGCCAAATTTGATGTAAGATTTTCATTGTTAAGTAATTTACCTGGCCTTATACTTTGTGTCAAAATAACACTTAGAATTATTCCTATTGAGGTTGTCACGGAATAATAGCACAGTGCCATTAACCCAATAGGACCTATAAGTCCATGCACGTAAAAAATGAATTTTATGTATTTGATCAAATTATGTATTTACCTCTTTGTCCCAATATTTACCTGACTTGGTTAAATTGCAGGTTGCACTTACAACACTAGATACTACCAACGGTAATATTATACTATTTGTTAAGCTCATAAATATTTCTCCAGGAAATTTTATATACATTATCTTTCGTTGGGACCATGGCTGTGGAGTACAATATTTTAAAACTAATCCAAATATAACACCGCCGCTTACACCAAGAAATGTAGCAATTATTAGTTTATGCTTCATAACGTGTAATTAGTTTTCACTTGAAAGAACGACGTTAAATCTATTATTTCATATGATACGATGGGTTAATATCACTTTGCGAGGATATATGTTCCTGCAATGTTAACACCTAAAGAGGAAACGTGAGATGAATTATCAAGTGTATACAAGAAGATAGAGCTCTTATCTGATATGCGATCTATATATGGCAACATCTTTTATGATGTAAATTAATCATTAAGGTTTGCTATTCAAATTCATGGATAACGATTTACGAATTAATACAATTAGAAGTTTATTTTTTATTTATTTTGCGCACCTAATACAGTATAAATACAATAAATATGATCGTGCACAATACATAAAGGATGTGTATTTACACATGCTTTTAATTTCCAGGCCATATTTTACGTATTTTTAACTGTGTAACATATCATCATCCTTTTCTATATCTCAATATTATTTATACATATCTTTACAATTCTGCATTGTTTTTATATTATCCATTAAAACATCACATATGCGTTTCATTTGCATCCAGTCTTCTGAAGAAAATCTCAATATCTAACCATCCTTTAAAATTACGATTCTAAAGATTTATAAGATTTCAATAATTGATGTATGTATATATATATATCTGATGTGTAATTTTATATATATATATATATAAATATATATATATATGTATATATATATATGTCAGTGAGATCAGTAAAGAAATTTATTAACGTTACATTTATATATACAAAATCATGATAAGTTTACATACCTAGGACTACATACTTCACTATGCAGTTTTATATTTGGTTTTGTGTACTATGGAATAGTACTTTACGCTTTGCATTGAATAAAACATTTCTGGACTTTCTTTCACTTCTTTATTTGAGGTAATTTGATTTTGCTCAAATAAAAGGAAAAAAATTTATGTATTGACTTTCGCTTCTTGGTAATGAGAATACGCCACGCACAATAGCGATTTGTAGAGTTCCTTCGAGATGTTGTTTTTTGTGCAACCTGTTCAAAGAATATTTATATTATTAAAATTGCAAGATAGGAATAATCACAAACGGAGTTTCAAAGAAACTCGTTTTTTTCTTTTCTTTCTTTTTTTTTTTTTTTTTTATTAGTATATATTATAAATTCTGATACCACTTCCATCGAACGTTTACGATTGGTGTATTCTCAAGGGGAGAGCGCGATATAAACACAAATAAATACCTTTCCCTACAAAGGAGTTTCTTTACGAGCTTCTGCTTTCCATTGAAATCCATTTACACGTGTAGTGATCGGTTTATTTCTATTCGTTGCATTTTCAATTCCATTTCTAACACCTGCTACTAATCTCATAGCTGGATTGGAAACTAAACCATTGCGCTTTGGCTTTATATTACTTATACTAGGAGAAAATGATGTAAATGTAGAAGATATATATGTGTGTGTATATATATATACATATATATATATATATATATATATATATATTTTGGTGTTATCGAGAATAGGATTAATAGTAAGTGTTGGCTTACCTTCCAGGTGTATGTTCTGTTGTATGTTTTACATTCCTACCAACCCCAGCTCCACTGTTTCCGAGAATAATTCTCATATGAGTATCTCGAGTAAAGTGTGTATCAGCACAGGTTCTTCTCTCCTCGATACTATTTTTCTTATCTTTTCCAATATTCAAGCCTAACATTTCGTTCGTTAATTCGAACGGTTTGGTTATGTCATTTTTATCGATAATTTCTGTTTTTATATTTATAGGCTCATAAATTGCAGGTGTATGATGATTGCATGCACCAATTTGCGATTTATACGGTAAGTTTTGATTTCCTGTTAACAACGATACACCGAGTTGACTCTGTATTACGTTTGCCGCTATCTGTGCGCTAGGTGGACTCGTGTTTGTGGGGGAGTAAGGTATGAGACTGTCACTTAACGGAGAGTGAGGTGGTGATGCATAAATTGGACTTTGTGGTTCACTTTTTAAGGGTGACAATAATTTGCTCAGTGGTCGACTTTTTGCTCCTCTTGAACATTGTTGAAGTTGTTGGGTGAAGGATAGTGGCGTCTAAAATTATAAACACAGCATCACTTTTTTTTTCTGCTTACTCGCGCGACAATTTTTAATGGAGTAATTTATTAGTTTGACTGGAAGTGGTATCAATTTTTCTTTTTTACGCCCAGAAATGGCGTAATTTCGTATTACTTATTTACTACTTACCTTAATCACTTGATTGGCCATAGAGTTTTGATTGAATTTTCCTTGATCACTTTTAGTGCTTCCCGTCAAATTGCTGCTCGATTTGCTGTTGCTCGAATTATTACCCAAAGAAACACAGCTTCTTCTTTTCGTAGAGTCTGGTGATTCCGCTGGGCTATATTGCGTTGAAAGAGGATTTAAAATTGCCGAGGAGGGTTTCGTTTCAGCGGTCGAATTTGATGTTATCGATGTTGCGCTACTACTACCACCACCACCACCACTACCACCTAAAATGGAAAAGATATGTGTTAAAAAGGCACGATTACGTATTACTCATCGTTCGATTAAATTAATAAAC